AGGTGGAATGTTCTTTCACCTCTGAGCAGGTGAACATGCTAACCCCTCAACCTGAAATGGCTTTTTTCCTTTGGTCTTGAAAATGTGCATTATTCTTCAAGGCTCAAAAACTATACCCTTTTTGAAGGTATTGCAAACTACCCCAGACAGACTAAAAATGCTCTTGACTCTACGCTCTCAGTGTAAGCAGTCAAGTGTTTTTGAATAAAAAAGGAAGGCTTAACTCAAAAAGATTAGTTAAGTTATAACTAAGAGCTGAAATACATAAGATTAAACAAGGATAAAACGTTAATTGTCACAGGTATAGGAAAAGAAACCCTTAGAAAGAAGTTTCTAAGTGATGAAGAGAGCAGCTTAGCTAGAGAGAGGTGGTTCAACATAGTAGTTTAGAGTATGAGTTTTCGTCTCTTAAGCCCCTAGTCTACAACCAGTTAAGCGACCTTGGGAAACTGGGCTGACTTCTCTTTCAGTTTAAAACGAAGATAACAACAGTAACTATCATTACTGGGTTGTTCTAAGGCTAAATGAGTTAATACACACAAAGTATTTATAACAGTATCTGGTAAATAACCTATCAGTTCTTACTATTACCATTATTTTAAATCATTTAGAATTATTATATTACATTCTGAAGCAGTATTGGAAAAGACAACAAAGTCAGTGATAAGGTAACAAGAAGCAATATCAGTTAAAATAAATGGAAGGAAAATATAGAGAAAAAGAAATAAGCAAGTCCTAATAACAAGCTATTGCCTAAAATTGAATCCTTGTAGAATAAATCCTTAAGTCCTTACAGTAAAATGTAAAATGCAAACAGAGATACTCCCCATGTTATTCTTTCAAAGAGAATCAACAATAATAATGTGGGATTTCACAGCAGATCATCAGCTGAATGCAGGATGAACATGGAAATGAATTGAGACTAGACCCAATCACAGTCCCTAAAAGAAACAAAATATTGCCAGCTCACTAGGGAGGATGGAATGGTGATTTAAAATCCTATTTACAATGTCTTTTTTTAATCAATTTCAACAAATTTTATAACAATGAAAAAGAGATATAACATATATAGTATAAGTCTGTTCACATAAAGTTCAAAACCAGTGCTTCAACAATTTCAAATGGTTCAGCAAATAAAATATGTGTATACATCCATCCATTGATATATAAAGAAAACGTGGTAAAACGTTAACAATTGGGAATCCAGGTGAAGAATATGCAAAAGTTCGCAAAACTATTTTGCTACCTTTTTTGATTGATATTTTCAATTGATATTTTTCAGAACAAAAAGAGGAAAGAGTTAAAAAACTAGACAAAGCTAATTTATACTGTTTAGGAACGCAAACATGGGTAGCAAAGGAATTAAGTCCCTCTAATTATCAAAATTCAGAATAATTTCCAACTCTGGGAAGAAAGATGAGCTTTTGCTGAGAGAGTCTCACTGGGATCTTCTGATGCTGGTAGTTTCTTCACCTGGCTGTTTAATGCATTAGCTTTTCCTTACATTTATTATCGATATAAATTCTATGCATTTTTTTCTGTATGCACATTTCACAAGAAAAAAGGTAAAAGCAATGTGATGAGGTATATAAAAATACAAATAAAAATCGCTATACACTTGTTAAACATTATTATTAGAGAATGCTGCTTCTGCTCTGTAACATGCAAACACAAGTAATGAGGCTTTTGCTATGAGTCATTTACTTGAGATCATTTACCAAAAGGCACTTACTGAGGACCAATTTTTGAGGCTAGCAATATAATAATATCATCTTATTTTTACATGAGGTGGTTCTTTTCTTATACAACCATCAATTCTGAATCTGGTTTAGTTTAGTATTAGGTAATACATCATACACAATTTATATTGCTCATGCCTAAAATCTATTTTTCTATAGCTTTTTCTGATTTCGTCATTAGGATTTCACAGTATCTTTTGTGAAATAGTCAGAAGTTGGTCAGAATTTCACATTCTTAAATTTACCTTTCTTTTTTTTTTTTGAGACTGAGTCTTGCTCTGTTGCCCTGAATGGAGTGCAATGGTGCGATCTTGGCTCACTGCAACCTCTGCCTCCCGGGTTCAAGCGATTCTCCTGCCTCAGCCTTCTGAGTAGCTGGGATGACAGGCATGCGCCACCATACCCAGCTAATTTAAACTGACTTTTAATACAGTGATATTAATTCACTTGAGGGTCTCCTCCTGTGTTTTCTAAACCAATACCAAAATCTAAACCATCATCACTTTCTTCACTTCTTCTATGGTTGGAACTTAGATTCTATTTTCAATATTTTCTGTTTTTCCTGGTTCTTTATGGAACAGAATAGCAATGTCTTCTTTCCACACTTTGCGCAAACTTCAAGTTCATAGGCACATGATCTACACGTTATAAGAATACTCCACTGTCTTCTATAAACATTTAACATGTTTTTTAGGTGTGATAATGGTTTGTATTTGCTATATTTTACACGCCACTCAAGAACTTCTTTACAGTTGTACAGTGCTGACATACTCCATCAGGAGGTTTTTGTTTTTATTTATTTTTTTTCTTTTTGAGACAGAGTCTCACTCTCTCACACAGGCTGGAGTGCAGTGGCGCGATCTCGACACACTGCAACCTTCACCTCCCAGGTTCAAGTGATTCTCCTGCCTCAGCCTCCCAGTAGCTGGGATTATAGGCACCCACCACCATGCCTGGCTAATTTTTGTATTTTTAGTAGAGACAGGGTTTCACCATGTTGGTCAGGCTGGTCTTCAACTCCTGACTTCAGGAGATTCACCCGCCTTGGCCTCCCAAAGTTCTGGGATTACAGACGTGAGCCACTGCGCCCGGCCGCATCATGAAGTTTGGCATTACTTTTCTTGGTCTGAACACTCTTATCAAACTTTTTTTTTTTTTTTTTTGAGGCAGAGTCTTGCTGTGTCGCCCAGGCTGAAGTGCAGTGGCATGATCTCAGCTCACTGCAACCTCTGACTCCCAGGTTCAAGCCATTCTCCTGCCTCAGCCCCCTGGGTAGCTGGGATTACAGGCAGGCACCACCATGCCTGGCTAATTTTTGTATTTTTAGTAGAGATAGGGTTTCACCATGTTGGTAAGGCTGGTCTCGAACTCCTGACCTCAAGTGATCCACCCGCCTCAGCCTCCAAAGTGCTAGGATTATAGGCATGAGCCACCGTGCCCAGCTGAACTTGTCATTTTTGAAGCTAAATATATTCCGGTGCTTCTGAGGCCTGGAATGAGGCACGTTGCTTTTCTGGGAGCTCATCACCGAAACCACAATTGCCCCTTACTGGGAGCAGGCAAAAGCCACAATGTCTTAATATACTTAGAAATAGCTACAGCTAATACAACATAACAACAACAACAAAACACAGAATGTGGAGTCCTAAGTTCTGAGATCTAGTCTCAGTGCCAGTCCAACCACTCTCCAGTTAGGTGACCTTATTAACAAGTCAGTCTCTCTGGCTATGAGTTTCCTCATCTATATGATGGAGAAGATAATATGCTTTTACTTAGCTCAAAGGGGTTGTTTATGAGAACCAAATGGAACTATATAGATGATCATGCTCTTTAAAACACTATAAAATTGTTCCTAAATATTAAACTAAATGTTTAACGAATAATGTTCAAATCATTTAAATCAATTGTAGAGGTATAAGATTCCAGCTGAACCACAACCTACAAGAAAGTGACTCACAGACTTTAGCCTAATAAAAGTTCAGTATGGTCCTAAAAATGGTATGGCTGCTACAGAACATATATAATCTTTGATCAAATTAACATAATGAATAGTCTCACAAAAATACAGATCCACAGTGTTATACATTACTTAGCCTCCTTTTGAAATATGATGTTCGACTTTATGGGCTCTATTTTGAAAGACATTGGAAATGTGTTTGGGGTGATAGTAGTGGGAGTAACAAACGTCTCCTGTAAGAATAGTTAAAATAACCGGAATGTTGGCCTGGAAAAAAAACAAAAGGTAACTGAGAGTGGATCTTTAATTTTAGCCTTTGTCTGTGTTGCACTGGGGGACAAGTAAGAGCAATGGTAGAAGTAATAAAGACAAAGATGTTAGCTTAATAAGGAAGAACTGTGTAATAACAAGTTAAGGATATTCTGTGATAGGAATGGACGACTTCCTAAAACAATGTGTGTCCAGTCCCTGCATGTGCAAAAGGAGAAGCTGAATGAGCATCAGGTAAGGATCCTACTTTGGGTGGGCTAAATTTTATAGAGGACTTACGAAATCCCTTTCAAATTTAAGATTCAGGCAATTATCAGAAAACAGCAGGCTAGGTGTGGCAGCTCATGCCTGTAATCCCAAGATTTTGGGAGGCCAAGGCAGGGTGATCACTTGAGGCCAGGAGGTTGAGGCCAGCCTAGGCAACATGGTGAGTCCTTATCTCTACAAAAAATTTAAAAATTAGCCAGGCGTGGTGGCACACGCCTGTAGTCTTGGCTACTCCGGAGGCAGAGGCAGGAGGATCACTTGAGCCTAGGAGTTTGAGACTGAAGTAAGCTACGATCGTGGCACTACAGTCCAACCTAGGTAACAGAGCCAGGATCCTGTATCTAAAAAAAATTTTTTTTTTAATGTTTAAGTCAGATTACTAAAGCACATGGCAACAGAGGAAGCACCATATCCTGGTATCACAAGAAATAAGGTTATAAAAAGTGAAAAAATAATCAGCCTGGGCAATACAGCAAGTCTTCAGCTCCACAAGAAATTAGAAAATTAGCCTGGCATGGTGGGTGCTTGCCTATATAGTTCCAGCTACTTGGGAGGCTGAGGCAGGAGGATCACTTGAGCCCAGGAAGTCAAGCCTGCAGTGAGCCATGATCACACCACTGCACTCTAGCCTGGGCAACAGAGCAAGACCCTGCATTAAAAAAAAAAAAAAAAAAGGAAAACACCAGTTCTTATTTTAATTAGCGCAGCTATTTATAAACAACCACAGTGTTGTCACTCACTCTCTGCCAATTTGTTTTGGGCCTTACCTCGTCTCCTATGATCTTCTAATTCCTCTCTGCCAACTCTTGTAATGTAAGAGCACTGTGAACCCTTAGAAAGGCTGTTAAAAAAAACTGTTTCCTTTTTAATTAAACTCTGCAAATAAGCAAGTCATTACATTTCCTGATACCTAACACCAAAGCAAAACAAACCAAAAAAAACCTAGGATTTGTCTCTTACTATATGTTTCTTTCTTTTTTTTAATTAATAGACTTTTTTAGTTTTAGGTTTATGAAAAGTTGAGCAGAAAGTAGAAATTTCCATATACCCTCTTCCCCAGTCAGTTCCTACTATTTTTAACATCTTACTTTAGTGTGGTATATTTTTTATAACTGATGAATCAATATGAATACATTACTATTGACTAAAGTTCACATTCTACATTAGAGTTCATTCTTTGTATTGTACACTGTATGGTTTGGGAGGGTCTTAAATAATATTTTCATTGTAATTAAATACATATAACAAAGTTTATCATCTGAAACGTCTTGAAGTGTGCAGTTCGGTGTGAGGTACATTCACATTGCTGTGCCATCGATCTTCAGAATACTCATCTTACAAAACAAAAACTCTACATCCTTTAAATATTACATTTTTTTCTTAAGCAAAATACTTATTAGATAACAGAATAAACATAATTCTTAAATATAATGCTTTCACATAATTTTTCCTGTAATCTAAAATTCTAATTTACCATATTAATATATCCAATACTTATAAAATTTTAATTTTGCTCAATTTTTACCACATATAATAAAAACTAAGATTCAGTATCAAAAGTATATATTCACCCAAAACACCATTTATTTTGTGCTCCAGTAAAGGGTAGAGATATAACTAAGAAATAGGTTATGTCCCTTTAAATCAACATTTGACATTCACATTATATTTAATCTTATCCAAATATTGTGCTACATTTCTAAATATGACAAAATAAAGATTTTACACACACATGTAAATTCAAAGACTTTAACAGATTTGTAGAAAGGAAAGGGAAAAATAGAAAAAACATCCCAGTTAACTGATGGCCCTAGACAGAGAAACTAATTGTAGGTATCCTGGCTTATTTTGCCCGCAAATTGAGGATTTTTCCTTTAAGAATAAAATCCAATCTATATTGAACAATCAAGCTGGCAAGAAGGCTTTATCACTGAGAATTTTGCTTTACAAATATGTTATGAATCTTTGATCAATTCAGTCATGTTTAGTAACTCGTGGGGCCATACTACATTACAAAGGTTATACATTTATCCCTTCCTCTCTACCTTTCCGTCACTTCCTCAGTCTAATCTCTGTTAATATAATCTGTTTCTCAATACTTTGCCCCCGCTAATTTAAAAAATAAAGAGGAATTAGTGCAAAAGGCCCTAATTATTAGCCTCTCCAACTACTACTGTATCTTCAAAAATCAAAAAAAAAAGACCTCACTTACCTTCACTGGGTAAGTTACTCAACCTTTCTGTGCCTAAATTTCCTCATCTTCAAATTAAGGATAATAAACGGCTAGCACTTTATCACTATGTATTTGGCACAGCACATCGCAGGTGGTAAATTACTGAATGAAAGGATGAATAACTCAAAAAACTGGTAAACATTAAATGAGGCAACGCTATGGTTTGGATATGGTTGGTTTGTTCCCACCAAAACTCATACTGAAATTTTATCCCCAGTGTGGTGGTGCTGTAAGGTAGGGTCTGGTGGGCAATGTTTGACTCATGGGGGTGGGTCCCTCATGAATGGCTTGGTGCTATTCAAGTTTTTTTGCCAGAGGAAACAGATTCGTTCCTGGAGTGTGTTATTATAAAGCGAGGCTTCTCCTCCTGTTTGGTCTCTCTCTTCACAGGAGTCCACTTCCCCTTTGACCTTGTCTGCCGTATGATGATGCAGCATAAAAGTCCTCTGCAGAAGCCAGGGCCATGTCCCACTCCTAGCCTGCAGAATCATGAGCTAAACAAACCTCTTTATACGTTACCCAGTCTCAGGTATTCTGTTACAGCAACATGAAATGGACTTATATACAAGACAAGTAGTATATGTAAAGTACAGTACTTAGCACAGTGCCAGGCATACTAAAAGCTCACATTAAATGGAAGTTATCACCATCACCAAAATCTTCACTGGGTCCCCATTTCCCACAAATTCCAATTTAAACCTTTCTGTCTCCAAAAAACACAGAAACAAAACCCTTTCTGATTTCAAAAGAAGTCTGTGGTTATTTAGCTTTCTTGTGTCTCACCAATTTAATCTTCAAACAAGCATTCCCACTAAAATCAAACCAACAACTTCTCTCTTGCACAAAGTCAAGCTTATTGCTGAAATTTTAGACCTTCATTCATAACTATCTTCTCACTGGAACATCTTTTATCTTCCCTTGTCTAGCCAAATACCAAACCTTTTAGTTCATATTCCACCTTGTCCAGGAAGCATTTCCCAACTACTCCTGCTTTTACTCATTTCTCCCTCTAAAACCCTTATACACTTTTATTATTTTGTAATTATCTACTAGCACTATCTAATCTTTTTAGGTAATTTGCAAATTACACTGTATCTTTTACTCTCATATCCCTTAGCTATCCCAAAAGCAAATGTACAAATACAAATGGATTGATCTAAACTTTTACAGTGATTATTTCTGGATAACATTATGAATGATAAGCATTTCCTTTTTCATCCTTATAGTTTTCAAATAAATCATAACAAAAAAGAATAAATTTATCTGGCATTCTATGACTCAAATCTTATAGTGCTATTTCTATAGATTCTAAGATCCTAAAATTCTTCAGGATCATGAATGAAAAAAAAATGAGTAAATGAATGAATGCATAAATAAATAAATGTCAGTGGAATTTTAACAACTATCTTCTATACTGACTGTAGTTTTCATAAAACAAAAATCAGTGGTTCACATGTAGTACCCAGGGTAAACTTATTATTCAGTGTGCATGGTATTCTCTGATTAAAAGTTTCCTGTTTCTAATTACTTTTCAATAATTGGTATTTTCATGACTTTATGCTCAAAACACACAACTTTCTATTACAAAAATGACAATGTATTTGAATATATCTGAAACACCAAATATAATTTTTAAAAATTCTTACCTAATCCTTTTTGTCCTGGATTCTTTGCAAAATTAAAAGTAAACTGGTAAAAATCCTTAAATCGTCCTGGTTCTTTCAATTCTTGTTCCATCTTGGGTATCTGGGCCTTTAGTTTTTCTATGCTGTCACATCTACATTGTAAAATTAAGTTTATAAAAGATTAACTTTTTCACTATAAATTAATAACTTATTTATTCCCATGAGGGCTTACATTTATTTCCTAGAACTACGTTTTTAAAAATCAAATAGTTGGAATTCAATCTTTTTATATTACATAAATACAAACATGCATGGAGGTTAGCTGCGGGAAGAAGTCTAGAGTGATTAAATGTTCTAAATAATTACTTTTAAAAGAAACGGGCTATTCGTTTTAATTACATAATTCATTAGGCTATCAACACTTTCACTAGTAGAAGTCAGCTTCAGTGGATAAATAAAAATGTATAGTAATCAGCATAACAATCATTTTAAACTGTATTAGACACTACTGACACAGTACTTAATCGCGTTTACTATCTAAATTAACTAAAAGTATGGTCTCTTGCTTATGAGGAAACATTTCTTTTGGAAACTTGCTTCTTGTCATATACAAAGTATAGTAGTAAACAGGTGAACCTCCTACCACCTCCAACTGAATTACCTCAAATTAATATTAAGCTTTTTCTGTACGTGCAAAACATTCAACTTTCAAAGAGTTTGAAAAGCTCTAAGTACCAAGCCTTTAGTTTCCTAATACAGCTTTATGGTAGAAATACGCTATTTCTTATAGATTCCACAAACAAATCCATTTTTTTCCTTCTAATCATTTTTTGCTTTTATTTTCTTTCTATATTCTTTGTAACACCTTCCAGATCATGTTTGTAAATTAAAATTTTGATTTGAAAGTTCATTACATATTATATGAATTCAGTTTCAAATTTTTAAAAACATTGCTTCCTTAAGTTCTGATGAAACCTGTCCTAGCATAGAAAATCCCAGCAAGTTCAGGATGGGCCTGGCTTTGGCTGAAGGACATAGTGTCCAGGCCAGTTAATTTACTGCCTCTCAGCTTTAAACCTACCCTTCTTTGCCCTACTTTGTGATATTGGAATACAAACTGTGAGACTTCATTTTTCTTGCCAGCTGGCTCAGTGTTAGGCTCTACCAAGAGCCAACGAAAGGCTGGAGGAGGAAGAAGGAACTTTTCTGATCCCAGTTTGTTTTCTCCAGGGGGCAAGGGTTTTAGTGTGTGGGAAGGTCCCAGCAGTATCCACCAGTGGTAGCAATCTCACAGCCTGCAGCAAGTGGCCTCTATAGGCAGCTTTTTCACCAGCATTACAGGTGGCAACACCCTCTCCCTTCACCCTCTCCCCAGGTCTGAATCTCAGCCTTGTGGGGATCTCCTAAGCTTCTAAATTTCTTCCTTGTCTGTGCCCTTCCCTGACTTCCCAGAAGTGGTAGCAGCTTGCTGCAACTGCTACCTGTTATGCCTTGGAGTTTCTTTTTATCCTTTTATCTATTTGATAGAGTAAAGCAAGTCTTTAAATTTTCCCTGTTAAAATTACAGGTGTGGTCTTTTTGTTTTTGTTTTTGTTCTTGTTTTGTTTTGTTTTTGTTTTTGTTTTTTTGTTTTTTTGAGATGGAGTATCGCTCTTGCTGCCCAGGCTGGAGTGCAGTGGCATGATCTTGGCTCACCACAACCTCCGCCTCCCGGGTTCAAGCGATTCTCCTGCCTCAGCCTCCCAAGTAGCTGGGATTACAGGCATGCACCACCATGCCCAGCTAATTTTGTATTTTAAGTAGAGACGGGGTTTCTCCATGTTGGTCAGGCTGGTCTCCAACTCCTGACCTAAGGTGATCCACCTGCCTTGGCCTCCCAAAGTGCTGAGACTACAGGCATGAGCCACCGCACCTGGCCCCTGGTGTGGTTTTTGTGTCTTGACTGGACCCTGACTGATTGCAATGTCAATCAGGCTCAAATCATGACTCTAATACTACCTAATTCTATAATTTATCTGTACCTCAATTTCTTCATCTCTAAAATGGGGACAGAAACACTATTCTCAAAAAGTTGCTGTAAAGAGTTAGGTGAAATACTTAGCACAGTTAACTGAAATAAAATAATGTTTAATAAATGTTAGCTATTATCATTTAATAGTGGCCCTCTAAAAACAGAAAGGGCAACTTGTTACCTACCAACAGACTGATTACTTCTGTCTGCAACCTCATTAAATATGGACAACTAGAGGTCATAGGTAAAACCTCTACCCATGACTTTTCAATCAATTTACCCAAAGACATTCAGCTAATCACCTGTCAAAGTGTAAGTGAAACAAGTAGTAACTTCTAAGGCATCTCCCAGTTTTAAATTCTAGGATTTTATAAACGCAGGGTTCACAGTCTCACATTAGGAAATAACTTTAAAACTTGGTCATTTCACTCTTCCATGGTAAATATTTATGCATAATTTTAATACTAATGAACCTGCCTTAGAAGCAAATGATAAGAATATATCCAAATAGAATAGGCTGTACTAACTATACAAATAACTTGACAAACCCAGAAAACTGTGTAACATGGAAACTAGCAAGTTAACCCATTTCTATTTATACCAATGTTTGTAGGCCAGCAAATCTTTAAATTTACACTAAAAAATTCATGACATAATTTAGTTCCACAGTAACATATCTAATTTCCTTTTGTAATTATATACTCACCCTAATTCTGTCATGCCATCCATGAACTCCTGTTTGGAGAACTCGCACTGTGTTGCTGCTCTGAACTTCCATGCAATAATCAACACACTAATGCTGGCTGGATCGAGTGCCAGGTCATCACAGAACTGCTGTATGCCATCTATTCCAATTTTATTCTCATCTTGAGGGTCTTTAAAAATAATAATGCAATATTAAAGTAGTGTCGTATTATGCTACATTACTAAAACTGAAAAAGATAATGCTTTATATGTCATTTTTTAAATGACCACAATATATGGAAGGCATGACACAGTATTACTCTAACATACACTTTCCCATTATTTAAAGCCATTCTCCTCTCTAGGAAGGCATGAAACAGTATTACTCTAACATACACTTTCCCATTATTTAAAGCCATTCTCCTCTCTAACAGCATTCTTAAAGTGTACAAAAGAGATACATGCAGATGAGACATGATTTTTTTAAGTCTCATTTATTCATGTGAAATATGTCCCATACTTATACACATTCAGAAAATCAGACATTCGTATATAGGGACATGGGATTCTAATTCAATATATCCATATTTTGCTTAGGTAGGCATTCTGAACAGAAATTCTTTTTTTCTTAGAACAAAGTTCACTTTCCCACAACAACCACTTCTTAAGAGTAACAGAAAAACTATGTAATTCAACCCTAATCTCAACAATGTAAATATCTTTTGTTTAAAGAAAAAAATCAATACTTATCAAAGAGGCAAAAATTTTAAATAACAAAGAGAAAGAGGCACTCATAGACTGCTATCCAATATGATTTGCTAGCACCTTTCTTTTTTTATTTTTGAGACGGAGTCTTACTCTGTCGCCCCAGGCTGGAGTGCAGTGGCATGATCTTAGCTCACTGTAACCTCTGCCTCCCAGGTTCAAGCGATTCTTCTGCCTCAGCCTCCCAAGTAGCTGGGACTACAGGCACACGCCACCACGCCCAGCTAATTTTTGTATTTTTAGTAGAGATGAGGTTTTACCATATTGGACAGGCTGGTCTCAAACTCCTGACCTTGTGATCGGCCCGCCTCAGCCTCCCAAAGTGCTGGGATTATAGGTGTGAGCCACCAAACCCGGCCTTGCTAACACCTTTCTTAAAGTAATCTGGCAATATCTCCAGCAATAAAAAACATGCATATCATTTGACTTTAGAGCACAAGTTATGCATAAAACATCCCATATTCAGAAAAACTTTGAAATTCTGTAAATGTATTTCTGCAAAAACATAAAAGATATAGAAGGATCCACACCATTGGTTACTCAGGAGAATGAATAAGGAGAATGAATAAGGAAAAGACAGACAAACTATTAACCTTTTCTTATTCATCTATTATGCAGTTGAACTTTTTAAAAACTACGCATTACTTTATAATTCTTTAAAGATTTAGTATGCAGGTTTTCTTAAAGACTGGTTCAGCTGAGTTTTATACATATGAGGGGAGAAAAAACAGTTCCCATCCCCATGCTCAACTTGGACAATGGGGAGGAAAAAAAAGGAGGGCAGGAAAATAAAGAGGCCAAGAAGAAATTTTAGTGCAAAGAAAATAATTTCTCCTCAGAGTTCTTGAAATAACCCTAAGATATACAGACCTCTATTGGACACATCCACCCAATTTATGTTATATATAGTATTTGATTTCTCACAAGCCCATCACTTTGGAAAATCTGGTCCAAAATTTATTTAAAGTCACAAGCAAGCACTCACCTTTGTATCTATTGTACAGTTGTTCTAACTTCTTCCTGTCCAATGATCCTTTTACACTCTCTCGTATATAAAGTTCAGGATTTTGGAAAAAATTATCTGTTGCAACATCTAACTTCCAGTCATTTTGAGATAGACAACTTACTGCTGTTTTTTCACTAGATTGTGTGAAGATCATAAACTGACGAACTTTATCCTTCTGCGATGATTTCAACTTGTTCTATTGAAACCAGAAAATAAACTGAAACTCTATGTAAAATCACATAAGACTAAATATTTCTATATGGCTGACAAAACGTTCTTAGTAATACTTTTTCCTCATAAAACATTAAAACAGTTTAACTTAAGATTTATTTTTGATCTATTATTAATCAGAAAGACTAACTTTTAAAAAATATGAAACAAAAAATATGATACAGTTTTGGAAGAGAAATAGGACAGAAGCAAAGGAAGCTCAACCACCCAGCGTTTCTCCTACAGTGGGTCCTGAGAGCATACAGAAAGGCTGCAGAAGGGAAGCGGTGCTACTCTCCAAACCTGGACAAGCACAGTGCTCTGAGATGGATGCACAAGTAGTGGTGGGGAAGAAGGTGACATGATCTGACCAGTGAGCAAATGCCCCTGGGGAACCATGAGATTAACAGGTGTTTACTGCAGGCCTAATACCCACTATAAAGGATATGGGGCTAGAGGGCGGGGATCCTCCCTCCCCAACACCACCTACCTTGTTTTCTTGCTGTTTTTATCAAATAGGAGGAAGCAATAAAATAGAAGGATTCGACATTTCTCCTAGTTGTGTTCAGAAACCAAGAAAATTATCAACAAAATTTCCTCATATTTTCACTCAAATCAGGAGAAGCATCCTTCCTACCGAAATAATTTTTTTTTTCTTTTTCCCCTGGAAGAATCACGTCATTCCCTTAGCCAGAGCCTAGCAGAGACCCTTGGTCTCTCCAAACAGCCCTTCTACCTCTTCTCAGAGAGGGGAAGAGATGAAGAGATAATCACCTCTTCTCACTTGCTGCACACTGACAAGGATTCATTTCTCATCTGACCTAAACCCACAGGAAAAGAAGGCAGGGTACTCTCTCCCAGTATCAAAGACCATGTTCTCCCTTCCCTCTCACCCAAGCCAGCCTCCGAGCAACTGCAGCCCCATCACTGGTACTCTTCCTCCTCCCAAGCTCCAATACCATCTTCTAGCAAAATACTTGGGTTCTTCCTGAGCTACTATTGTAAATGAAGACGGAAAACTTGAGTAGGATACTCATGAATAGACACAATATTCTGTGGTTGGCTGGGCGCGGTGGCTCATGCCTGTAATCCCAGCACTTTGGGAGGCCCAGGCGGGCGGTTCACCTGAGGTCAGGAGTTCGAGACCAGCCTGGCCAACATAGTGAAACCCCGTCTCTCCTAAAAATACAAAAATTAGCTGGGCATGGTGGCAGGTGCCTATAATCCCAGCTATTCGGGAGGCTGAGGCAGGAGAAATGCTTGAAACCGGGAGGCAGAGGTTGCAGTGAGCTGAGATAACACCATCACACTCCAGCCTAGAGGACAAGAGCGAGACTTCATCTCAAAGAAAAAAAAAAAAAAAATATATATATATATATATGTACGTACATATATATATATATTTTTTTTTTTTTTTTTTTTCTTTCCTGTGGTTTAAGCAACACATTTGAGAGCCCCAGATGCTCTCATCTGGCCCAAACAGACAGATCGTAAATATCAACTTCCAGATTAGACAGATCAGAGAACCCTAACCAGAAGGTTAAGGCATTTGTTCAAAAATATCACTCAGGTTGTTATTAGTAGAAATGAGACAAGAACAAAGAGGTCTCATGAATCTGAGTAATCTTTCCATAAATTACACTGCTTGCTATACATATTTACAAAGCTTTTGAGATTTTACAACATATTTCTACCAATCACAGTAAAAACAACACTATACAAAATCAAATATGAAAACTAACCCTATCTCCCTATTTCTTGCAATATGAAAAATGTCTATGCTCTAGAATCTGATCTGTCAGTCACACTCCTCTCTTTGCAAATATGTTACTGTTAAGATTACAGATTAAAATCTCAACCTCTGTACTCCACTAAAATTGAGAAACTATAAATTCACTACTCTTCTGCTACTTCACTAATAACTCTACAACATCTGGACATCAGATAAGTCATATCCCATTGCAAAACACATCCCTCAAGTGTCTAGGAGTCTTCCCTTTGGAAAACCATCTCCTCCTTGAGATTTACTGTTCAATGACAACAAACTCACAATGAAATCAAATGCCAAGGAAGATAACTGTCCTAATTTAATTTTGCTTAAATGAAAGTTAACAAGGAAATCATTTTGATTCCAACTTTTGTTACTGAAAATTATTTTAAAACTTAGTATATCTTTCTCCCTTGAGTGATAGAGTACCCTAACATATGTTTTAATCCTCCTCTGAGAAAGAAGGTAAAGTACCAAAGGATCACTGTGATCGTCAGTGACCACCATATAATGGTGCAGGAAGTGTTGGAGATTAACCTGCAAGTATGCCAACCACAGACCATATCCTGGAAAATACGTAGGTTTTTTTGTTGTTGTTTTTTTAAGAGACTGGGTCTCGCTATGTTGCCCAGGCTGGTCTCAAACGCCTGGGCTCAAGCAATCCACCTGCCTCAGCCTCCCAAAGTGCTGGGACTACAGGAGTGAGCCACTGTGCCTGGCCTGGCAATTACTTTTTAATTAAACCTGATACAACTTATTGGCGTAATTTTTCCCCCATCCTCCTAAAAGTTGGAGGTGGCAAAACAAACAGATTTAGCTGGGGTTTTATCATATAGTTTTAAATCCAGTGCTCTGTTCCCTGCAGGGTCAATCACCTTTGTTGAAGGGAGGAAAGGAAAAATCATAGCTTAAGTCATTTCTACAAGCCAAAAAGAACTAGTCATTCTACTATTCTATTCCTATCAAAAAGCAGGATAACAGAAGACCAGGGAAACAAAGATAAAAAACTGTCTTACCCACACAAACTAAAAACAAAATAATACAAACGAATTAATTCCATGTCATATCTTATTTGAAAAATATGTTTATGTAATAAATTTTATATATATACACACACATACACACACACACATATATAAATGTAAACTGTTTTTTTTTTCTGAGACAGTGTCTCACTCTGTCGCCAGGCTGGAGTGCAGTGGTGCAATCTCGGCTCACTGCAACCTCCACTTCCCAGGCTCAAGCGATTCTCCTGCCTCAGCCTCCCGAGTAGCTAGGATTACAGGCACGCGCTGCCGCGCCCAGCTAATTTTTGTATTTTTAGTAGAGACAGGGTTTTGCCATGTTTCCTAGGCTGGTCTTGAACTCCTGACCTCAGGTGATCCAACCATCTCAGCCTCCCAAAGTGCTGGGATTACAGGCATGAGCCACCGGCCAGGCCAAATGTAAACTATTTTAACTGGTTTGGTATAAATTTCCACTATACAGGGCAAGATCAATATATCTGAAGAAACAGGGTGCACCTACCCATTTCCAACACCATAAAGGTTACTGAGTTACACTAGGCCAAGAAGTGACAGTATGGACTCCAGCTAAGCCAAGTGATATTGACAATCCCACTCCTATAAAGTCTGATAAGTACCCTCCACTTCTTATACTCATAATGCACTCTTACCATTTCTTTGTCAGCTCTCTGTTCCTAGAATACATTGTAACACCCGATTCTCTACTAAGGGAATTCAATTCTGTAGTCTCAAAGGCTACCCTAGAATAATGCTGGAGTATACCAGACCAATTTAGGGGAGCTGTAACACTCCCATCCCCTTTTCCTAAGCCACGCAGACACACCAGGCAGTGTTCTGATGTTGACAGTATGGCACCAAAGGTTTAAATTTTTATCAACATAAGGAAGAGAAAAAGGTGACTAACCAGAGAAGAATTATTTTATAGGGGATGAGAGGGTGGATAGAAAATTGAGGTGGAAGAAAAAACAGATGGATTTTTTCTCTGTTTCTACTACAAACACAGTGGGGAACTTCCCAAGAGCAAAATCATGTGACAGCTACAATGATTCAGCACTCAAATGTAATATATGCCATTTATTTAAATACTTATTTAAAGGGAATAAACTAGAGTAATCATTAAACAAGATCAGGCAATACAATCTTCAGTATTCCGATGTTAAAACTACCTAGATATTATGAAGTTTTCAAAGAAACGCAATAGTGGAAAGGATGTAAAATGCATAAAACAAAATATATTTTGCTTTTTAACTCTGGCAAAAAAAAAAGCAGGGGGAGAGGAGAAATGCTATCTCTTGTAACAGAAAGCTAATTACAACGGTATCAAAGATTACCAAAATTAGAAATACTGTCATAATCTGAAGAGTAAAATGAATTTATTTGCTCATCTTTCCAAAATATAACATGTCAAGTTATCAACACATATTGTTTTATTCTTAAATCTAGCATATTTGCTTTTTTTTTTTTTTACTCAAGAAACTCAAGAATTAGAGAATCAGCCAGGTGCAGTAACTCACGCCTGTAATCCAGCACTTTCGGAGATGGAGGCAGTAGGACTATTTGAGGCCAGGAGTTCAAGACTAGTCTGGCCTGGGTAACACAATGAGACCATCGCTACAAAAAAATTTTTTTAACTGGTTGTTGTAGCGCACACCTGTAGTCCTAGCTACATGGGAGGCTGAGGTGGGAAGATGAGGATCACTTGAGCCCAGGAGTTCATGGCTGCAGTGAGCCAAGACAGCACCACTGCACTACAGCCTGGGTGACAGAGCGAAATCTTATCTCAAAAAAAAGAAAAGAAAAGAAATTTAAGAATCACATTTAAAATAATAGCTTATCTGAAGAAAAAATATTAATAAAGTTTAAAAAGTCTTCCTATTAAAAGTATTTCCCCAAGGAAAAACAACAAACATGAAAATGACTTTCTAGTCAACTAAGTCCTAACAATTTCAAAATAGAAATAATTTTAATAAGTGATATTTTTACAGGAAAAAATTAAGATCCATTTTATTTCTATTGTCTTGAATTTTTATCTTCTCATCCTTCAAGTTTATATTTCTGCCTGAACTCCAGAAACAGACACTTAGGCCTTTATATCTTTAGAGGAATTAATTTTCTAACTCAATTCTTGTTAACTTAGGATTTGATGAATCTAGCTCACAAAAGTTAATGCTTTCAAAATCAAAACACTTTTAT